TGCGGGGCGCTGCGGCGGGCCGTCGGCACCAACGTCCCTCTCGCCCCTTTGCACTCGCAGGCCGCCTGGGCAGAGACTGCGACAGTCTGTCTGCGCGCCCCTGTCTGATCGCGTCGGTCCCCCCAGGTGCGGGCGATGGCACTGGCGATGCTGCGGGACTGGTGCGGCTGGATGGGCGCGAACGCTCAGCGCTCCCTGCTCATCCTGGGCATCCCGGACGACTGCCAGGACCGGGAATTCCGGGAGGCCGTGCACGCGGCCCTGTGGCCCCTGGGCAGGTACCGAGTGCTGGGCCAGGTCTTCAGAAAGGAGCTCGGGTCCAGGGTCGCCTTGGTCGAATTTGCTGACTATTTAAACCGAAGTCTGGTCCCGCGCCAAATGCCAGGCAAGGGGGGCCCCTGGACTGTGGTCTTCCTGCCCCAGGCCCCCGATGCCGAGTCACAGGATGGACCCGATTTCCCTGCACAGCCCCAGAGGCGAGCGGTGCCTGGCAGGGCAGGGGAGGCAGCAGCTGCAGGCGAGGCTGGAGCCCCAGGTGAGAAGGGGTTTGCGGGGGCAGCAGGAACTGCAGATGTGGCCGGAGCCGCGGGTGAGGAAGCCGCAGGTACCGCAGTAGCTGCACGTGAGGCGAAAGCCGAGGATGTGGCGGTAGCCTCAGGTGAGGAGGAAGCTGCAGCTGAGGAAGGAGACAAAGATCTGGCAGGATCTGCAGGTGAGGCGGGAACTCCAGATGTGGAAGGAACCGCAGGCGAGGAAGCTGCAGGTGTGGCGGGAGATGCGGGTGAGGCACACACAGCAGGTGAAGCGGAAGCTGAAAATGTGGCAGAAACTCCAGGAGAGGAAGGAGGTGCAGGTGAGGCAGAAGCTCCAGATGTGGAAGGAACTGCAGGCGAGGAAGTTGCAGGTGCGGCAGGATCTGCAGGTGAGGCAGAGTCAGCAGGTGAGACGGAAGCTAAACATGGGGCGGAAGCTCCAGGTGCAGAAAGAGCTGCAGGTGAAGCAGAAGCTTCAGATGTGGAAGGAACTGCAGGTGAGGAAGTTGCAGCTACAGCGGGGACGGCAGGTGAGGCACAGTCAGTAGGTGAGACGGAAGCTAAACATGTGGCGGAAGCTCCAGGTGCAGAAAGAGCTGCAGTTGCGTCTGCAGCGGAAGGTGAAGGAGGCGCCCAAAGTGAGGCAGAAACTGCAGATGTGGTAGGAAGTGAGGGTGCGGCTGGAACTGCAGATGTGGCAGAAAACATGGATGTGGCTGGATCCGCAGCCGAGGCAGGATGTGCAGCCGAGGCAGGATGTGCAGATGAGGCAGGATGTGCAGCCGAGGCAGGATGTGCAGGTGAGGCAGGATGTGCAGGTGAGGCAGGATGTGCAGGTGAGGCAGGATGTGCAGGTGAGGCAGGATGTGCAGGCGAGGCAGGATGTGCAGGCGAGGCAGGAGCTGAACATGTGGAAGAAGCCTGGATCCAGCAGTGGAACCAGGCCCTGAAGCCTGTGCTGGAAAATATGGCCTACCAGGAACTGAGAGCC